ACATTTGTGCCACATATGCAATTCTGTTGCTCACAGGAGATGTCTTTAGGGATTGTGATGGTACAAGACATTGCAAAAAAAGATTTTTCTCATGAGCGAAAATTCTGTTTTTGTTCTTCAGATGTTTTCGTTCAAATCCATTAGTCTCTGTTCACTCTGCATGTGAGGAATCCATTTTTCATTAAAAAAGCAGTTTGACTTAAAAGTTGTCATTGTTAAAAATTGTATATATATATATATATATATATATATATATATATACAAAAGCAGCCCTAAAAAGAAATATGCTAACTCTAACAATATGAAAAAAGTAAAGAATGGATACTTGAGTGAGCAACTTTTTTCCCTTTTTCTTTCTTTAGGAGGAGTGTATTTTAATATAATGCTACATTATACCATAACATACTAAAATAATTAGGGAAGACCATTAGAATGCACAAAAAAAGTGGATATTCAAGCCTCTACCTCTATTAATATATGGTGCTTTGGGGGGAAAAAAAGTCGGGCCACTAACCAAACCCAAACGCTAAAATAAGTTATTCCTTAACTTTTCTCAGATTAGTGATTTAAATGTAATATGCAAGTCAGTACATTGCCTACAGATGTGCCTACTGTTAAACACATGTCATCACTGTGAATATGGATGAATACAGATATTGTAGCAGTGTGTTTTATTGTAACGCTCGTACTGCAGGAGGCGTTCAATAGCTCAATGAAGGGCTGTCTCCTACGCATGAGGTGTTCTAAATATGACACATGATGAGTCTGGCTGTTAGCATGGACAGAGGAAAGGCTAAACTGAAACAGTATCAAGCTCAGATAGGGGACAGCATTGGCGCCAACTTCCGCAGTATGTAATATGTCTAGCAGAATGTAACTGCCAGGACTAAAAATATTTCAGTGACATCCACCTCATGGCATGATATCTCTCTGTGAAATAAACAACGTTGACTTCACTTCTCAGGTTTCATCTCTAAAAAAGTTTCATCAGTATACCTCACGATGGTGGCGCGATGGCAGAGAACGCATGTGAAACCCCCAAAATACAATTTTTAAGAGTCTGAATAGAGTATGCCACTTTAATACTTCTAAACATGCAATATAATTTATGATTAAATTTTTTTTTGCATGCTTTTATATGTATTATATATTTTGAATCAGTGGGTGAAAAAGTCTAAAAAGTGCATTTTTCTCTACATGTAATTGGCCCACCATTACTAGCTTCATGGGAAAAAAGAAAAACATAATATGTGTATTCTTGGAAAACAGTTCTTATGCTCTTTTCATGCAATGCTATTTTCAAATTATGTTAATCCCCAGGAAACCAATATTGTAAATGTTGGCAGTTTATTTTTGTCGACAGCTTATTATTATTTATGTTTTTTTGTAAGAAAAATTCAGAGAAAGGTAAAGAAAACGCAAAAAAGGGAACACATGAACATAATACATTTTTGTTACAACCTTTTTCTTTCGTTTAAACGTGGAAAGTATATAGGTTATGTGGTAACATTTTTGTATCTAAAAAATATTTTCTTAAATTGATAAATTATGCAGAATTTTTCAAAATAAATAATTACTCTCTACAGCTGAGAAAGCATTCCCAAATGTTCATGTATTTCTTAGCAACTGAAAGTTTATTATTGTACACATTTACCTTGAAATATGTATTAATCTTCTGCTGTAGATTCATATGTTTGTTTCACATTTTAAACAGCTAGCACAATATTAGTGATGAATTGGTGTAAATTAATTTTGTTTGTTTTATTTTTATAGATATAAAATAAAATGCATTATAGACAGTAATGCTAGGCAGTCATTTGGAGAGACTACTGCCAAATTTATTTTGTATTTTCTTTAGTGTGTGTGTGTGTGTGTGTGTGTGTGTGTTTGACAACAAGTGGTTGGTTCATCTTGAAGTTGTTATTGTGGACAGGACTAGTAATTATGGACCTTTGGACTTATGGTTTGTCATGGATGAGAACAGAACATTTAAGTACAAGTAAATTACCTGGACCCCAAAACCATGTTAACAATGTAAAAATGATGCACTCTGTATTATTATAAGACTATACATACACCTATATAGTACATACATAACATACATTCATTTGCTTACAAAGATAAAAACAGTATATTACTAGATTTTAATGACACAGTATGACACATTCTACAAGGGCAGACTTTACATCAATATTTTTAGGTTAAAATGTATATGAATGTATAATGAGTGGTGTACAAATGTTCCATTTAGTCTATTAGATCATAAATGCTGCATATATGATAATTATTGAAAAAGAGTCATGAAATGCTGTTTACAGTAATTTTAGATGAAGCACACCACAGGACATGTCAACTTCCCAAAAGTGTTTCATGTCAGCTACACTCATACTAGTTGTCAAAAACATTACTACTGTGTTCTGCTAATTATTCCACACAGAAATTACCACCTGTCAGTAAATGTTCACAGAATAACAGAGTGTTTCATTTCACTTATTTGGTTTCAGTTCTACATTGCTAAGCACTGAGAAAGTTTTGAATAAACAAATATTACCCCACTGTAAAATACATTCTGATTTTTGTGTATTATATGTATATATCTGCCCAAATGTTTGCCCAGGGATTTGTGTCATACCCCTATATTTCAATACCCTGAGAAGGATTGACAGCACTAAAAAAACACACACACACACACACACACACACACACACACACACACACACACCTGGCTGTTATTAAGCCTCTCATAAAAAAAACACAACTTGACCCTAAAGAATTAGTTAATTACAGATGGATCTCGAATCTCTCTTCTCTGTCAAAGATACTAGAAAAGGTAATATCATCACAACTATGTTCCTTCTTAGAGAAAAATGGAATCTGTGAGGTTTTCCAGTCAGGATTTAGACCATATCATCATAGTACTGAGACCGCTCTCATTAGAGTTACAAATGACCTGCTCTTATCATCCGATAGTAGTTGTATCTCTCTATTAGTGCTACTAGATCTTAGCACTACATTTGACACTATTGACCACAACATTCTTTTGAATAGACTAGAAAACTTTGTTGGCATTAGTGGAAGTGCATTAGCTTGGATCAAATCTTACTAATCTGACTGCCATCAATTCATAGCCGTGAATGAAGAGGTATCATATCGATCACAAGTGCAGTATGGAGTACCTCAAGGCTCAGTACTAGGGCCATTGCTTTTCATGCTTTACATGTTACGCTTGGCTCTATATTTCTTTGCGGCTCGACAAACATACCAATTTGCAAAACTAATGGAATACATAGTTGACAAAAAAATGGATGACTACTAATTCTAATATTATCTAATAAATACTAATTTGCTAAATTCTGAAAAAAAAACAGGTGTTAATTATCAGACCAAAAACCTCTGCATGTGATAAACTAGAATAATGTCTAGCACTTGATGGCTGCTCTGTCAATTCTTCGTTGTCAGTTAGGGACCTAGGTGTGCTATTTGATAGCAATCTTTCCTTTGAAAGCCACATTTCTAGCATTTGTAAAACCACATTTTTCCATCTTAAAAATATATCTGAATTACGACCTACGCTTTCAATGTCAAATGCAGAAACATTCATTCATGACCTCAAGGTTAGATTATTGTAATGCTTTATCGGGTGGTTGTTCTGCATGCTTAATAAACAAACTCCAGCTGGTCCAAAATACAGCAGCTAGAGTTCTTACTAGAACCAGGAAGTATGAGCATATTAGTCCGGTTCTGTCAACACTGCAATGGCTCCCTATTAAACATCATATATATTTTAAAATCTTGCTAATTTTAATTCTAAAGCCCTGAATGTTTTAGCACCTCAGTACTTGAGCTCATCGGCACAAGACCACGGGAACCAGATGAACTGGCCCCCCAACTGAGTCTGGTTTCTCCCAAGTTTTTTTCTCCATTTCTGTCACCAATGGAGTTTTGGTTCCTTGCCGCTGTCGCCTCTGGCTTGCTTAGTCGGGGACACTTAATTTCTGGCAATATTGTTGACTTGATTGCACAGATACTAGTTGAAATGAATCTGAGCTGGACGATGACATCACTGAATCAATGATGAACTGCCTTTAACTGAAAGTTGAGTGTTTACTATTGTCATTTTGCATTATCGACACATTATTTTCCTGTTTAATACTGTAAAGCTGCTTTGACACAATCTGTATTGTTAAAAGCGCTATATAAATAAAGGTGACTTGACTGATGACAAAGCAAGAAATCCAATCATAACCTCCAGTGCATTATCTCAAGACTAAGAAACTAAGAAAACACACACACACACACACACACACACACACACACACACACACACACACACACACACACACACACACACACACAAAGATACTAATAATAGCCCATTTGAGACAACTACAGCATGTCAACTCGCTCAAAATTTGGCTGTGACTCCTAATTTAAGCTCTACTGCTATAAAATGTGGTTGTCACTTGCTATTCATAACCAAAACTGTGCCATGAAGAGCAAAGTTTTATTCTACCTTTAAATATTGATAAGCTTATTTATTTTAATATCTTAACTACGCATAGATAGATAGATAGAGATTTTAAAGTGACATTTTTAACTCATTTTTTTTATAAGTAGTGTTTTAATGAATGATTATTAATTTATTAGATTATCACAAAACTATGGTGGCCGCAAGAAGACATCTGCATTTCATGAGTTTTAAAATTATAGCCTACTAGAAATAATTTGATTAGGTTCCCCTTAAAAATGAAGAAATAATCTTTACACTGCATTTCGAATTGATGTTGTTTTTTTCTCTGATCGGAACAGAAGTGCGAACAACTGGGTGAGAACCGATTCTCGTTTAGATGACTTATCGGAGTAGGTTTCTTCAGCAGTCTATGGCGAAGTTGCAGAGTGGCGCTGGAGCTGTTTTAGTGGTCACTGTCCCTTTAAGAGAGCGCGCTCTAGGGTGGCGCTTTCCTCCGCAAGGGCTTCTTGATATTAATAGTGTTGGTGTCTTGAAACTGACGTAATGCTTGGAGTCTGAGGTCCTGACAAGCGATAACATTTCTGATAAAGAACTGAGATCACTGCAAAAACCAACCTCCTTTTTTTCCATCCCAGACTCAGGCGTTTTTACTATTAAACACAGTCTCCCAAGATTTCACGTGTACAGGAGCAATTCGCAATCTTACATCCCCATAAAAAAAAGAAATCATTCCCGAGATCAACAAACAAACAACACAAAGACGCTTCATGGCTAACGCCAAAGCTCCACCATCTTTCAGACTGCAAAGACTATTGCAATTTAATCAACAGGTAAGGAGAAAGCGAATCAATGAGCATTGCGATCACGGCAGAAGAACGATGTGGATTTTAGCTGTAGTTCCTGATGGCTTTTAGGGGGAGAATGTTATGTAATGTTGAGAAGGGCGAAGGGATTTGGTGATGAATCAGTTGAGTGCTACTTTGCAATGAAAATAAGAGCACGGCTCTTCGGATTTCGGCGTGCCATTTGCGTTTTGAGGCTAAATTGCAAATTGAAATTGGCGACTTGCTAGCTCCCAGTAGTTGAGAGAAAACACACGAAGAGGTTTTTGGATTACTTTTTCCTTCCCATTTCTTCTCAGCTATTTCGTTCCGTGTTGCAATGCGTTTTGCACAAGATAATATCCCGAATGTAGTAATATCGTTTTTTTTCTCTTGTAAGTTACATTTAAGCCGCGAGGCGTCTTTCATTTGCTTTGTTTACGTTATGTGTAAACCGGTTGCACTGCGAGCTAAAGTAGCTAAACGGTGCATAGCTCAAGTTGTAGAAAGTTTCATTAGTGTGTAGGCTACTGTTTTTGCGTAAATGATGCTTCAAGGTGAATGGCGCTTTCCACACAAACTTCGAAAACTTTCCGTGACTGATGTACGATAAGAAAACGCGTAGGCATGGCAACGCGCTGAACGTTACACTTCATTTTCCACATACAAAGAGGCTCAGGTTGTTTACACGACAGTCTACAGATCCTAACGGGGCTTTTATCGCTATTTTGCGGTTTTATTCGAAGGCAGATGGCGAAAAGACGTCTTTCTGTGTTCATTGCGTTCTTCGTGGCGATGGAGACGTGCAGCAAGTTTCTGAGGAAAAGTTTATGAATAGCGGTAACGAGCTCCTGACTATACGAATACTATTTTCTCATTTGGATGTGTGTTTTTGTGAATATAGCAGTAATGGGAAAACGTTTTATTTGTTTTAGCAACTGTGTGGACAACTTTCGCACTTAGGTGTGTTTGGGGGGGCTGTCGTTCTCAAAGTTTCTTGTGGCGTGACCAAAGTGGCGTGATGGAGCTTAGCACTTTTCAAAAAACTTTTCGACAAAAGTTCAAGGAATTTAAATAACTCTGTGTTAATCTTCTAAAATGAAGGCACGCGAATAGAAATTGTTCTCTTTTTTTCTTGGCGTGTACAGTAGTCGTGTTCTCCTTATCTTTTCTTGTTGATGTTATTCATCGATAGAAACTTTTGTACAGGGGACAGGAACACACATCCAGTGTTCTATTTATTTCTAACAAGTTTTAACAAGTTATGTGTATACATGTGTTCATATCCTATACATTTTGTAACATTGTTTGGATTTGAGTTGTTGCAAGGTTCCTCAGGTCTGCAACTCTGGTAATGTTTCCAGTTAATTTGGTTTTACAATCACTTTCACATTAGAATATCATTAGTACTTTCAAGTGGGTGGAAACAGGTATTTATCTTCAAACTGATCAAATCACCCACACTTCACTTAAATGTGCTGTACTGAAGCGTAACCTGTATCTGATTGTTATGATACAAAATCCCATGTTGGTTCCAGTAGATGAGTTGCGCTGTTTCCTGTAAACTGTGAAAGTTGCCACACTCGGGCAGTCTGGAAATGATATGCTCTCTTTTTCTTTCTGAAATAGTTTGTCGGTAAAAGTTTCTTAATGACAAAGCCTGTGCTGGCAAATGCGGCTCATCATTTAGAGAAACAGAGAAACTCACAACTGTAAACATAGTTTCAGATACAGTCAACAGAGAACCTCAGCTCTGTCATCATCTGGTTTTTGCAGTTACAATTGCTTTATCTTACCTCTTTTTGCAGTTGCATGACTATTTTTGTTCTGTGAAGATTTAAAGAACTTTTCCCCACTTTATTGGCATGCTTTAAATAGCTCATTGTCATTTTACATGTATAACAACCTAGAGATCAGAAGAAAAATGTCCATCTGCTTGGAATATTATTTAATTCCTCGTGCATCGTAAACACTCACACAAATATGTGAATTCGTTCTTGCTATCCGTTCAGTGGATTACTAGATTCAGTTCTCAGTCTGCACAGAAGAATAAAGATCCACATGAGTTGTCTGATAAGACGCGTTTGAAGTGATTGAAAAGCTTGAGGTGTATTTGAAATGTAAATGACTCCACATCTGTGAGCTCTTTGGAGAGAGGCAATAGATCAGCGCTGTATAGTCAGGAACTTTACGGCTGACAAATGAATTTGGGCCTTGGTGGAGGGAGAAAGCAGCAGTGGGGGTCTTCCATTTGTTCTTCGTGGCTTCTGAGTTTGCACAACTTCTTTTTGGGCTAACTTCTTGCCGCACTGTGATTTGCCACTTGTGTCCCTGCGGCAGATTCATGTGGCGTTGGTGCCGTTGAATAAGAAGCCTGTAGAGAAAATAAATTGTTGGGGATTTTTTTTAACGACAGTGAAAGAGAATGGATCACGCTACCATATTAAATCCAGGTGTTTGCTTGAAAAGAACATATTGGAACTAGTTGATGACTTTAAAATGTTGTAATAGTTTTTTATTTTTCTTGTTTTTTAGAAAATCTACTCAGACCAGATGATTATTTTTTGTATATATTTGTATTCATTGTTGCTCAAAAGTGAACACAAACAATCTTTTAAAAACTTAATCTTAAAGATGTTCATGTTGCAAAGGACATAGTACTTAAATACAACCAAAAACAGTTTTTGTTTTGATAGATTGAATACGATTTTTAGGTCGTTGAAACTTCTTAAAATTCTCTCTCTCTTCTTTTTCTTTTTAAAAATTATGTTTTTCGGAACGGCATAGTATTTTTTCCACTCCCTATACGAGCGACAGGCAAGTCTGCAAAGTACCATCACTGCTTGTGTTTTGAAATGACGCATCAATGACTTTATAGAAATTATTTTTTGTTTTGTTTTTCGTGGTTAGAAATCAGCAAACAAGGGAGACATGAAAATTTAGAATTTCTTTATTTCTTTATTTTATCCGCCTGATGAAATGCCAAGGTTTACACAGAGACAGCTTCTAATAATTGGTAGCCTTAAAAACTTTTATAACATATGTTTGATTTAGCCTGCGTATGAATAGCTAGTCTTTTTTCCTCCGGATTTTCAAGAATAAAAGAGCCGCAGTTCACAGAGGTCGTCCCTTGTCTCGTCATATGCTTTTCATCCTGTTTTTAGCAGTGTTTTGAAGTCACTAAATGGCTCTGGATGTGTGCTATAGACTTGTTATGGTGAGTTATAGCAGATATATTGTAAAGACTTGCCAGCGTCATGGATTTTCTCACTAAACTTTCATGCAGTATGAATGGATTTGAAGAGAAATAACTAGAAGTGTGCATTTGTGAGAGTGAAGTCACTTGGGGTTGTATATGAGTGTAACGTTGAGAAAGTTTTTGTCATCCAGATTAAGTGCTTTAAATGTAAGTGTTTCTTTTGTTAGAAGAAATCTTGTTCTCTTCCCTTTTTTTTTTTTCCTTCACACCCTGTGTGGGAAAGAAACACAAGGACCTTTGACCTGTGGTGTCATAGCAACCTCCTTTATCCTGTTATAAAGTTTAGGTTTAGCTTCTCCATGTATTTATTAATATTATATTTTGATGGCAAATTTTTACATGTCACAAATGCAGCTCAAGTGTGTTTAACAACTCCTCCAGATAAGAGACGGTTTGGGTCTCTGACTCTGTCAGAGCTGTTTGACATCACTTGTTAGGCTAATTATGTGGTGCGTGATATTTTAGTGGTTAGCATACATCTGGTAAAGTTTGCTGACTGAAAACTCTCGTATTCCCAGTAGAGTGGTAGGTTGCATGGCAAACGAAGAAATAGAAATCGAAGTTCCCCTAAATCTTCAATCTTACTCATTGACAAAAACTTACCTTTTTACTGAGAATATAAAAATAACTGACATTTGTATTGAATATGCAAGTTAAAGTGATGTGTGATGATAAACCTTTTATTGGTCGGATGTGTTGACATTTTGGCTACATGTGGTTTTTCAAAGCTAGTGGTTCCCGTTCGGTTAGCTTTTCATATGAACTGACTTTCCTGAACTTTTATACTAAAATTAGAGCATCAGTAAGTACTTGTTTGATTAAAAACACTCGTCTTGTTAGCCTAGCTTTATCCCGCCACAAGCCTCTATGCTCGGCTTCATATCAGAAACTTTCTGAAAGTTTTCAGTTTAGATCTTCCAGCAGTGCCCACTTCCTCTCCTCCCCATTTCGACGAGCTGAGTTTAGTGCGTCCGCCGATCCTCCTGTCCGCCGGCCCCTCTGGAACATTGATGAGTCAGTTTAACCTTCTTTTTCTTTCTTTCTTTTCCTTTCTAGTTTCTATCGTGTGTGTTCTTTTACCTCGCAAACAGGTTTTCGCTTTGCTTTTTTCCTCTCCATCTCACGGTGGCTGCACGTTCTCCTTTTGTGTGGTCTGGAGGCTGGTGCGGTTGACTATTGCTAACCTGACACAGGTTGGACAGAATGAGTCGAAAGAAAAGGTTTGTGGGGGGTAGGGGAGTTTTCCTTGAGAATGTTTGTTTTCCTGTTTCAAGTTTGGTCAGCCAGAGGGCCCGTACTGTCAGAGCTCCCATTCATGAAACCTGCTGTCAGACTGCCTGAGTACATGACACAGGATTTCTCTCTGCTCTCTTTGCGTTCATTGCGGTGTCCATGTTGTGCTTTTTCCAAAAAGTCTTTTGGTAGATCATGCTTTCTTTTTGTTGTTCGTTGTTTTGTTTTTTTTATTTTTTGCAATTTTATTCTGCGAGTGTTAATGTGTGGTGATTTTGACTTTCCCTCTTAATAATGACTCAAAAAGTACTGTTTACACCGAGCACTTCCTTATTGCTAAGCATGTGCATTTTTGTTTCGTTACAGTGATCGAGAAGAACGGCATAGTGTGGTCACCCCTCGCACCCAGGATCATCTGCACCTGTGAGGTTTTCTGAGAAAAGGAAGTACGGGACGGTGCTTTTCACAAGCAACGCACGTAGAGCAAGTAAACTTTGTGAACACTGTGGGGGAAAAAATGGAATGATTCCCAGGCAGAATGGATGTGGAATAAAGGATACCTCGGAGGGCTCCTCAGGGAAGGGTCTTTGGATACTCTGCCAGCTTTGATATCTGCCTCCCTGTTGGATTTGAGTGTGATAATGCTATAACCCAATGCTTAACAGAGGTATGTATACGTGTGATTGTGTGTTACAACAACGCAGGGATTTCTGGCAGTGTGTGGCATTGTGGTTTTCGATGCAATTCATGTTGCACGTCTTCTAAACTAATACGTAGGATTAACAGAGAAGGACGTGATTCTTGTCGTCAGGTTTTTGATGGTGTTGTGTTAGGGTGGTGTAGCTTTAAAACTTTATTTATGGTAACTTTTAACCCAGCCTTCCTGTAGTTCAGGGCAGTAATCTACACCGCTAGATAGCTCAAGCTTTTAAAGTGCTTTGATCTTCTGTAAGGCCATCATCCACTGCTTTGCCATTTATTACGTGGAACAGTACAGTTCTTCTGTTCAGGAACAGTTCTTTTCCCTGACTTTTTTTGACTATTTGTGGGTTTTCTCCAGGGTAATAAGATGGGCCACACAAGCAGTATTTTTTTAGTCTGTGGGGGCTTTCTTTGAGCTGTACATTTGTGGACCAGGTGATACTGTGGTCTGGTATTCTTCTCTGCCACTGTGTTTGTGAAAAGCTGGACTCGACAGACTTCCTCTCAGGAGATATTTCTGCATCGCTCATAAAAAATATGCATAGTAGCACACAGATAAAATTAAGTCTGTTTTTGTAGTTTAGTCTTATAAATGGGGATTGATTATGTCACTTTCTGGTCAAACACCGATAGTTTTTTTTTTTTTTTTAGATGTTTGGCATGTTTTTGCATTAGTTGGTTTTTGTTTTTTAAAGTTATTACATTGCTCAGTTATTTAGATACGTCATAAATCGTTATAGCAGCATTAAGGGTTATTAGGAAATACCGTTAACACTCCTTTTCAGCTGAGATTTTAATTTTAAAAGCGGTTTGCCTACTTGCTCTGTACCGCTCATGATTTTAAGTCTCAAGCTAATGAAGGGTAGAAATGCAATAATCTGAACTTCTGAGAGCGGCTGCATTCTTTGCGGTCTGGGTTGCGAGCAGTAGTCATTCTTAAATGAGGTAATCTGAGCGTGTGTCGTAGTGGACTGTTTTCTCCTGTGCCGAAATGTATAATAAACGACCTGTAGTGGCCAGTGATTAGGGGATCCTGCCTTTGTGAACGTTGCCACATTGGAGGTTTCTCTCGTGTGCCCTGCCGTTTCAGCAGATTTGCGTAATGTTAAACATATGCCGTCTTCTCCAGTCTGGATTTCAGGGGAAAACCTGCTTGTGTGAACGCACACAAAACTGGGATGGTTAAAATGTGCTTGATTTTTTTTGGTTGGTGTTGTATGCTTAGACGTGGGGTGATTCTGAATGGCGAGAGTAACCGTATGAATCCTTCACCCAGAACTCTGACACAGGCTTGTAGGTCAAGGGTCACCTGAGATCCCTGAGTGCTAATACGGGGGTCCAGGGGTCCCTGATGGGGCTTACTGGGTTGTAATGCGTTTGTTCATCTTTTACATTTTTTTTTCTAATACAGATATTTTTTAATATTCAATTTTAATTTATTAATTTAAAGACTTAATGATTTTGCCATTTCAGTGCATTTTTTTAAATAAAAATTTTCCCCTTCTGTTTTCACTTTTTATTAATTTGAAGGTATTGGGGAAAAATGTATTGGGATGCTGTTATATTAATATTTACTTAGATCTTGTGTTAATTTAGTTGCGTTTCCATGACACAGTTGCAGTTTTATAAGACCCCGTATTTAGAAATGCCCACCTAATTTATTTTTAATTTGCTTTAAAAATGTGTGTATTTGCTTTAAAACCATGTGTGCGACCCAGTCTAAACCCATAAATGCTAATTCATGGGTGTTATATAGTCCAGCCGATGATTCTTCACTATGATTTACTGATATTTCGCATTAAGCAGCATGTGGTGTGTTTGCACTTAAGTAGCCTAGGCCTATATTTTCAAAATGAGGACTTTCTGATCTCAGCCCACTTTTAATTGAATCCAACCTACAGTATAGGCTTTACGTTTGCTCATATCCTTATAGGTTCGGCTATTATGCACTGGAACATCTCTTTGACTCGCATGCCCGTTTTTGGGTATAAACATGGATTTATGCCATGAGTTAAAGCTTATGCTTATTACTTGTACCTTGCTTTGTATAATTTGGTTGAGTTATGGTGGGGAAATTGGAGTGGTCTGCATAGTTCTCCAGTAGGTGCCTGCGTGATGTATGGCATGCCAGTGTGCCGAGGGAGGCAGACGGCCAAATGTTTTCATAATGTTCATTTAAAAGTCTGATCATTCGCCTCCACCGTTTCTGGGTTTTACAGCGCATATAGAAATATTTGACGCAGCAAGACCTTAATCAGCAGCTGTATATTTCTCAACAACCAGTTGGTTACTGTTGACAAATATAATGGCTCTAAGAAAAAGGCTTTTCATTTGCAGGTAAAAGTGCATTTAGGAACTTGCTGTAATACATTTTTAAAGTCGTAGATTTTTTTTTTCCAGACGTGGAATTAGCATGCGAGCATGAACTGGTTTCCACTGCAGTGGAAATTCCACATCTCTATGCGTTTCAGGCCTGCTAGATAAACAGCAGAGCCTTTTTACGGACTGAGAGGTGTCGGTCGTGAGCGTGGCTAATGAGATTCGCTAGTTTGACTCCAATTTCTGCCTGTAAGAATACGGTAAGCTGGGTTATTACAGACTTTTGAGATAGTTGCAAAACGGCGGTAATGAGAGAGGGCCGAGGAGCGAACCTGCTGGCGAACGGCGAGGAATGGGCCATATCCTCCTGCCAATTAGCCCGATATTCTCCACTCGTATGGCACCTCCTTGCAGTAACCCCGAAACGGCACCAAACTAATCTAATTAGATCGAGAACACAAAAATGATCCCGGACCACTGGCAGAACGCACAATAAGTGGGCAATTTATTCTCGCATGGTGATAAAAAAGGAGGGAACAGTTGAGTGCAGGCCTGTTTATTTTTTAGCGGATTGTTTCCGCGAGGCCTGCTCCATATGGTGTCGGAGAGGGAGAAAAAAGCCCCGGAGAAGGGGGTAAAGAACAAGGGGGCAGAGAGCTTCAGCGAAGCTGCAAAAACAAAACTTCTCCAGTCAACCCTCTCTAAATTAAAGGGTAATGCCGAGCACACCGCACACTCAGGAGTTGTTTGTTTAAAAAGCCAAACTGCATTAATCAACGTCTTCATCTTCATCTCTAACAGCATGATTAATCTGCTGTTTTTCCCTCCCCGCCATTCTTCTTTTTTTTTTTCTTTCTTTCTTTTTTTAAAGTAATTGCCAATCCAATGAGCAGCTTTGACAGAGTGCTCCTGACCACATTGTTCACACATTGAGTGATGCCTGCACAGCGTCAGTGCACAGCAATATTATGCTTTTGGTTCAAAGCCCAGGTTCAGTTGAGTAGTGCAATACAGATCGTATTACTTGTTTCAGATACAATAATGCAGCTACTTTAACCTGCAATAACTCTCTGCATCATTTGCGATCTTCTCCCCTCAGACCCTCTCAGATACACCCTGTTGGCCAGCTTTAACGTAGTTGAATAGCGCCTGGAGGCCATTGACAGGAGCCTCATGTATCCTGGCCGTGTCTTTTGCAAACACAAACAGTAGCCTTCTAAAGATCTCTCCATTTGTTTAGAGGAAGTCCCAGAGGCTTGTTACACTCCCAAACCCCCTTCTCTTGTGGCTATCAGATGTTTATCCTCTACAAGGAGGGCAATTTACAAATGTAAGTGTTGTCACAACACAGGAGGAGACAAAAGGCATCATGTCAGGCAAGGATGCACCTCAGTGTAAGGAGCGCCATTATTTTGCAGATTAGAAGGGTTATAGGTGAATGTGGGAGCTTCTCTTAGTTTCACGTTGTGGGGAGGACTGAGGCCATCCAGAGTGGCACAGCTACTATTTGCTGTGATTTGGCTCACTCCGATCGGACTGAAGTTCAGGTCTCTTACATGTCCAGGCTTTAGATGTCGCATAATCAAACTTCAAATTATGCTGTTGAGGGTTTCTAGTAGGGTTTTGATAAAACGATAAAAGATGGTATTTATGGTGTTTTTTTGTCTTTTTTTTTCTAGTAGTGTTTGATAACTTTTTAATCTTTTTTAAGCAGATTTATTTTTGGATTTCAAGTTTTAAGCAATACATTTTCCACCGCACATGAACAATGTCAAGTGTGTTCTGATTGGCTGTTATAGTGCTGCATCACAGTATTTTTTGACTATGAATTGAAAGGGAAAATGTTTGTTTTCGTCATTTACTCCCCCTCATGTCATTCCAAAAGTGTATGACTTACTTTTTTCTGTGGAACACAATAGAAGATACTTTGATAAATGCCTGAGTGTTTTGTTGCCAACATTCTTCAAAATATCTTCCTTTGTGTTGAGAAGATAAAGTTATTCAATATTACAACAGCATGAGGGTAAGTAAATTATTCGAATTGTTGAGTGTATTATACCTGTAATGTCACTCATATGTTACATGGCCTTTAGAGTCATTGGATTGCTGTCCTTTTCACACAGCTGTCAGTCGTTGCCAATGTCAGTTTCAGTCAAAACACATTTAACACTACAGGACTTAAATCGCAGACAGGTCTAGATATTTAACCTGCTAACTATCACTCAGACATCAGTGACGCATCAGCGCTTCTTTCAGATAGCATCTTTGATAATGCAAACATAGAGATCGTCACTCACATGAATGAGCAATGATTTTGCCTCAGATTTGTTGCCAAACTCCATTAACTAAAAGTAAGAGGAAAATCAGGACTAAAAGCATTAGGTGTAAGGCTGTTAATGCTGGCATGTCTAAAATTTTGAAAAGGGTATGGTAGTTCTTACAAGTAGTAGAGAAGTTTTGAAAAAAAAAAATATATATATATATGTATTACTTTTGGGCAAAATGTGTTTAAAATCACGTATGAAGACTTTCATTATAAAAGCTTTATTTTACATGTAGCAGTTCACCTCCTGAGCCCTGTCATGTTGTGATCATATGACCAGATGAATACTACTCATTTGGTAACCATCCCATTATTGCATGCTT